GCCCGTGGGCATGTGGGCTGCCCCGCGGCCCCTGGCCCGGGTTCGTGGCTTCATGCACGCCTGGTGTATGCAGGCCTGGCGCCGGCGGGGCACACACGGGCACACCCCGCTGAGTGCTCATGCCGCAGCACGTGCGGGAGCAGAAGCTGGCCTCACCCCACAGCTGGCCCCGCCCCCGCTCGCCTGCCCCATGCGGGCGGCCCCGTGTTGGCTCCACCCTGAGGGCTGGCCCCGCCCACACCGAGCCCGCCCCGCGCGGCCCCTCTGCTCGCTGACCCTGCCCGCTGGCCGGCCGCCCACAGGTTCCTGCAGCAGCGGCTGAGGAAGGCTGTACCCTACCACCGGCTGAAGCTCCTGGTTGTGGGGAGCGCGGGCAGCGGCAAGACCACCCTGCTGCGGCAGCTGATGAGAGTCCGGAAGGCGGAGGCGGGCGCGCCCGGCCCCACGGTGGGCATCGATGTCAAGGACTGGCCAGTGCCCGTGCGAGGCGGGGCGAAGCGCGACCTCGTGCTCAACGTCTGGGACTTCGCAGGTGCCAGCCCCAGGGCCGGCCGCGCCCCAAATGTGCAGGCTGCGGGCGCGCGGGCCCAGTCGGCCGGAAGCCTCGCGTCCGCGTGCGTCCTGGAGGGGCCCCAGGCGCGCTGGAGCGGCCGCTCCTGGCCTCGGGTCCGGAGCCCTGCGGACTGGGCGGGACGGCCTCTCCCTCCGGCCCGGAGCAGCGCGCGGCATCTCCTGCCCGAGACTGGGCACAGGACCTGTGTGCTGTCCCGCAGGCCGGGAGGAGTTCTACAGTGCGCACCCCCACTTCATGACCCCCCGCGCCCTCTACCTGGCCGTGTTCGACCTCAGCAAAGGGCCAGAGGAGGTGGACGCCATAAAACACTGGCTCTTCAACATAAAGGTGCTGGGGCTGGATGTGTGCGTGTGCGGGGTGCGTGTGCGGGGTGTTTGTGGGGCGTGCGGGGTGCGTGTGCGGGGTGTGGGTGTTGGGGTGTGGGGTG